AGTCCTGGAATTACAGGTATCTCCCCCCCCATGCCTGAGAAGTTTCATATATATAAGTGTATATATGTATATATATATATATATAAAATGTTATACATATGTGTGTATGCGTTTTGTGCCTGAATCCATTGCTTCCACAGGAAGCGTGTTGATGCTGTAACCCTCATCATTCATTGTTCATTCATTAATTAGTGCTCTCACTAATTTTTCTTTAATTATAAATGAGCTTCAGTTCCTCCTTAAAGGCAAATTGAAGCATTCTTTTTATCCATGTTCTGTACTTAATAACTAGATAACTTATTATTTCATAAACATCGTGGATACTGAGTTCTCTCAAGTGGGGAATTTAAATGTTAAATCGAGACTATAGAATATCATGCTGCCAAAAAATATTATCGCACTATACCTAAATAACACAAAAATATGTGATGATTCTTCAGTTTAAACAATAAACAATATCCTACTTTGTGAAAACAGGTCACGTGTCACCTCTCCATATTTGTGTATGGGCATGTGGAAGCAGGTGTTGAGTGGACTCATTGGGTCGCTAGGGGACAGATCCCTGAGCAGTACTTAGACGTGAGTCTGACAGTCACCTCTGCACCTGCTTCTGCAGTTTATGATGGGGAGTGTCTGAGGAATGCTGTGTCCTTCTCCCTTAAGTCTATGTGACTATGAGTTGACAAAAGTACAGTAAGACCTCAAAGATTATGCAGTGAACATTGGTCTATTCACATACACTGTACCAAAGACCTGGTTCTTTGACCAAAGTTATTAAAGTGAATGCAAAAGGGGACTGAAGAGATGGCTCAGTGATTAAATGCACTGGTTGCTTTTGCAGAGGACCCAGGTTCAGCTCCCAGCTCACGCATGACACCTAACAACTGTCTATAGATCCAATTCTAAGGAATCCGATAAAGTTTCCTGATCTCGGATGTGAATTGCATGCATGTTGTGCAGTTACATGTAGGCAAAATACTTATTCACATAAAAATATACTAAACAGCCAGGCATGGTGTTGCACGCCTTTAATCCTGGCACTGGGGAGGCAGAGGCAGGCGGACCCCTGTGAGCTCGAGGCCAGCCGGGTCTACATAGTGAGTTCCAGGACAGCTGGGGCTACAGGGAGACCCTGTCTCAAAAAGACCTCCAAAAATATACTAAACAAAACTTGGACTAAAAATGAATGCACAAGGCACCCCTATTCTTAACAGTGTTTGAGCATCTCACAAAAATGCTGGGCAGGCAGCCATCTAATGAGCAGTGACCTCCTCATAGAGCTTTTAGACAGATGTACATGTCCTTCTGCCACCCTTCCTGACTAGCATTTTCCCACAGTCCATGGTTTGCTCTCACTCTTTGCCTCTCCTTCTAGCCTGCAAGCATGTCTGTGACAACAGCACATGCTGGCCCCCAGCAAAATTTGGGAGACTGTCGCCATGCCTTGCCTCAAAGTGTTCGGCAACTTATACGGCAGACCAGCTGTGCTGTGTGCATTGATTATTCGGTGCTAAGGTGTTTGCACCCAAGGGCCAGCTTTTCCACTATAATGACAAGAAGCTGGCCCTTACTTTGTGGCAAGCTTCTAGTTGGTTCTTAATGGAAAAAGAGCCGGGGTACAGCAGGGTCATGTAGAATGAGTTCTCCTTTAAGGAACAGAAAGATCATGTCCACAGAAACCCAGATGGGGAGGCAGGACAGATGTAGAGGGAAAAGTTGGGTGATAATTGTTCAGAAGAAGGAGTGGGGCCACATTTCTAAGCCACATCAATGTTATATCTGAGGAAAGACTCAGTCTGACTCTTATCATTAGTTTTAAGAGTGTGCCTGAGCTCTGAGTGTATGTTTCTTCAGATTTCCTGAAGAACTGTGCTCTCAAGTCAGGCTTCATCCATACTTTTATTGAAACAGTTCCTCCATCATGACTTGTGGCACTATAAACTTGGATCCCCTTATCAGAGTATCTTGTCCTTTGATCTCTAGGCCTGACATACCTTATACACACAATGTCAAGCACGAGTACTCCTCAGTTATTCTGTTTTCAGTGAAAATACCACACAGCTTCCAGGAGTTAGACATGCTAATTCAAGCACACTCATTTTCATTCACTATCTTGGTGGAGGCTAAATGGAGTCCTGAAGTGTCAAGCCAAGGTGCCTAGGTCACAAGAGCACATAGGTTAGTGATCTTGTTTGCACTGTAAGCAGTAGCTTTTTGCTGCAATGTAGCAAATGTCACTGGTTCAGATTCTTTCCGTCTTGTAAGTCATTCCTACTCTTCCCCTTTCTTTGATGAATGATAACCATGTCCTTATTTGTAGAAGAAGGAACTCCTAGAACGGTCATTCTCTCAGTTCCCTTGTCTGTTATATCAGAGAAGGCTGTCCATGAGTGTGGTCGTGGGCAGTGGGCTGGTTAGTGCACAGTGTGCTGGAGAAGTGGCATGAGCCAGAGTGATGTCATCCTAGGTCTCTGGAGAAGGTGGCCCAGGCAGGGCAGCATTGTCAGGAGAAGGCGCAGGAGCAGGACAGCTGTTCACGAGACAGATGGTGGTTTCTGGTGTAGCTTTATCTGTCACACTGCCAATTAGAGAGAGGGAGGCCTGTAGGAGAATGCACAGAGGTGGAGCCTTGGCTCCAATTAATGAGAGGAACAGGATGTAGCCATTAGCTGCCCCTTGGCATAGTTTATATGAAAACATAGGTTTTGATAAAAAGAAAATTGAAAGGTGATTTTCCATCTTATGCTGGGGGTGGGGGAAATCGAGAGAAACAGTTTTTTTTTTTAATTAAATA